GCTTAATCTGCTCTGTCCAGTTCGAGCACTGGACGCTTACGCACACAGAGCTGCCCCGTGGCGTAAGGCAGATCAGCTGTTTGTTTGCTTTGGTCCGCCAAAGAAAGGATCTCCGGCGACCAAGCAGACTATGAGTAGGTGGGTGGTCGAGGCCATCTCACTAGCCTACGAGTCCTCTGGCCTCCCGTCTCCTATGGGGGTCAGAGCGCACTCAACCAGGAGTATGGAGGCCTGCAAAGCTTTCAACTTGGGTGTGACCTTGCAGGACATTTGTGCTGCGGCGGACTGGTCCTCTCCGCACATGTTGGTCCGCTTTTACAACCTAGACCTGGCATCTACCCCAGGTTCCCAAGTTCTCTCTTCGTGATGTGCTCATAAGATACACACACAGGCAGGGACTTGGTAGTATGGCGCAGTGGGTATTCTCGTTCCCAAAGCGAATCTCGACGAAGCTCGAGTTCCTGAAGGGGAACGTCTCTAGGTTACGTATGTAACCATGGTTCCCCAAGGGAACGAGACGCTGCGTCTCTTTGCCATACTCCCTGCATCCCTGCAGGCGCTACTTAATCAAAGCTGGTTTGCGCTCTGCCGGATGCGCTTTTATACTTTCTGAAGCTTACGTCACCCCGCTCGTGACGTCTCGCTGCTCCATTGGGCTGATTTGACACGTGCTTCAGAAGAAGGTCACGCAGGGGCGTTCCCAAAGCGAATCTCGACGCAGCGTCTCATTCCCTCGGGGAACCATGGTTACATACGTAACCTAGAGACGTTTTTACACTACCATTGAGAAATTTTAGACAAAGTATGTTATAGACTTTTCATTAAGACCCTAAAGAATCATATCAACTTGTGGAAAATGGGCATCCGATGACCCCTTTAAAAACGAAGCATTAACACATGTTAGACTGCACCCCATAAACACAATCAAGCCTAGAAAAAAACCAGTGAACCACCCCTTTAATGACTCTAACATCAGCTCACAGAAACATGCTTAATATAAACTTAATATAAACTTAAATGTAAACTTTTTTTTTCATAAATCTAAAGCTACAACTGTAACAAATTAGTAAGCATACATCGTCAACTGCTTTCAAAGGAGACAAATACTAATACTAAATGTCCAATCTCATCTTACTTGGGGCTCTAGTATTGAAACAGCTGTACAGAACAGAGAAGGCCCGTGAATCTTTCAGTACAATCAATGGGACATCTGAGCTGCCAACATTCCTCTTCCAGAGCATGTTGCCGAGACATTGATGTCTCTGTAATGTCAGTGTACACAATGCACATAGAACACTGAAAGAGGGACTGCTATGCTGGCACTCTTTAGAGTTTAATCTATGCTCGTCTGCATGTTGAAAGCCTCTGGTATTCTCCTGTGTGTTAACTCGTACAGTGCAATCCTGGACAATACAGCTACAAAAATTACAACCCTGAAAACGATCTTGCCAGGCCACAGACTTTATGCAGAACAGAGTTCAGTCTATGCATTGATCAAAATGTAGTTTCTGGAGAATATACTGTATGATGCCTATAGTCCCAAATATATATATTTTTAATATCTCTTCTAAAGTTCCTTTGGAGAAATAAAAATAGACATAAAAGCAGAAAAAAAAAAATGTTGTAATAAGTCCCTAAAGCTAGTCCCTAAACCTAACTAAAATACACCTGACTACTGCAGCAAAAAGTCTAAAACCTAACATCCTTTACCATAAAAAACCTCACTATGATTTTTCCAATTACCCAAATTAAAAGCTATTCTAGTCATGGAAATACACATCCTTGACTAGGAAGATTCCAAAATCTCCAAAACTGCCTGACACTTCCATTACAATACCGGCCAAATCACCAATAAAATATGAAAAACTATACCATGAATTTGTCCTCTTCAGGTTGAGCCATACTATAAAAAGCTGAAAAAAACTGTCCAGCCAATGTGCATGTGTGTTGAAGAGTTAACACTGCTGTAAAAATGGTGATGGCTTTGCCAATGAGACAATTGGCCCTTTTAATTGAA